ATCACATAGTGTTTGCTTACCATTTGCTCACTTTTCTGTTTGATTACTCATAGTTATATTTGCATAATTGTACCTTCTTTGTCCTGTTTCACTATTAGATGACAGTATGCAGACCCAAATAGCACTAAATAAATACAAACAATAAATAAAAAAGAAATGAATGAATACACCAAACCCATGAAGGGCATCACAGCATACTGATAGATTAAACCAGGATCATTTTAGCTTCTGCTTAGGTCTTTGTTAATTGTATTGGATATAACAATAATAATAATAACAATAATAATAATAAGAAGAAGAAGAAGAAGAATTATTATTATTACTATTATTATTATTAGTAGTAGTAGTAGAAGCATAAATAACAGGCATAAATGTGACATATCTATGAAATATATAACTATGTGAACAATGCATACACAATTACAAATATATCTATGACATATATATATATATATATACTGTTAGAGTAAGTAGTTATGTCATTCTATATACAGTGAACAGTCTGTTGTATGGAAATGCAAGGGATAATAAATAAATTATCGCTTAAATAAATATTGTGTGCAACAAACAATATTACAAGATTAGTGGAGTAGTAGTAGATGTAGAAGTAATAATAATAATAATACTCATTATTATTATTATTATTAATATTAATAATAATAATAATAATAATAATAATAGTAGTAGTTGTAGTAAGCGGGCAGCAGAACTGTTAAGCATATTAAGCATGAATTTGTTGGTGATTTGGCGCCCTCTATCAGCAGATATTAGTAATAACATGCATCACCAAGTAGCACCACTAAAAGCAACAAAGACCACAAAAACCATCATGGTAATTTCCCAGGTATTGTAGGTCTTGTGCCAATTGATTGACGTGTCAGCTCTAACAGGATTTCGACTCTGTCCTGTGTTCACACTTAAGCCACTCTCTTTTAATTATGGTTGAATATCCAGGTTAAGGTGAATGTGTAAAAAGGAGCCTGAAGAAAGCCATTTCAAATCAATTGGAATACACCCTTCCCAGTGTTATAGAGAGCCTAGTAATAATATTCATGATTTGCAAATTATATGCACCCCTACAATACGCACAATATGCATCCTACACACACTGGGCTTTATGATTACAGAGACTGTTTGCCCACATAGTGCTGAAAGTGCTACCTGGGCCATAACACGCCTCATTCAGCTTATCACCAAGTCTGTAATCAGCTGAATCCACTGTGTAACATTAGGGAGAACACAACAACAGGAAGAGCTGTGCTTTTAATCATCACTGCAATACAGTCTAGTCGCATACCAGACTCTGACGGCTTGCTCTATTCACATTATGTCACTGATGTTGAGTTCCAACCATCCAAAGCACCCCTGCTGCCTTTTTGCCAGTGGTTCCCACATCAGCTGATAAAATTAACATTCTCATATCATAACCTTAATTGTTCCCATAACCCGTATTTCTACAAGTTCCTCCATTCTAATGATGCACACAAAGGCTATGTCAACCTTCAACCTGCTAAGGTGGGAGTGTGAGATACAGGCCAGGTCCACAGGTACATACATCATAAAACATTTGGATAGCGCATGTTATCAACCTAGGAATAAAGAGCACAAGACGATCTAAAGCCTATTACAACTAGAATGGTTAAAAACTCAATCAGCATTCAACAATTGACACAAATATATGAAATATCCAGAAATAAGAAGCCTAGCCAAATGATATGCAAATATAAACAGACATTTAGACACAGTGCTGAAAGATCATAACCAGAATAACCAAAATACATACAGCAGTACTAAACTTATCAGACTACAGTATATACAGTCATGTGATCAAGTAAGAACAAGTAACACCCCGTGAAGTGTTCTGTTGACAAATGTGGACATATTAGTATTTGATCTTTTAGTTAAACTGTATGTATAGATAACGATTATATGATAGAACATGAAAATTTGACTTTGCAATCAATTATTTTCAAAAATAACAGAATAATAATAACTTTTCTGTTTAAAAAAGGACACCCCTGAGGTTATTCTGATCAAATGCTGTCTTTGGTTTTCACAAGCATGGCTTCTAGTATTGTGTCCAAACATGTTGAGAAAGTGTCATATTTCCCAAAGATGCAGCAAAAGCATCAGGAGCTTCATGAAATGGGTTTCCATGGTCGAGCAGCTGCATACAAGCCTAAGATCAAAATGCACAATGCTAAGCATTGGATGCGGGGAGGGTGTAAAGCATGCCACCATTGGACTCTGGAGCAGTGGAAATATGCTCTCTGGAGTGATGAATCACGCTTCACTATCTGGCAGTCTGATGGACAAATCTAGATTTGGCAGATGTCAAGAGAACACTACCTATTGGAATGCATAGAGCCAACAATAAAGTTTGGTGGAGGAGGGATAATGGTCTGGGGCTGTTTTTCAGGGTTTGGGCTCTTCAGTTCCAGTGAGGGGTAATGTTAATGCTACAGCATACAAAGACGTTTTAAACAGTTATATGCTTCCAACAAGCAGCAAAACTTTGACAAGGGGTGCCCAAACCTGCATACAAGACCTTTGCATATAGCTACTTTACCTTTCTATTGTGTCTCTTTACTTTTTATCATATTAGTTTTATTATACATGACATTTTAAATTTTTTATTATACCTTTTATTGCACGTCTGTTAGCTAGCTAATTTAAGGTCAAATTTTGCTAATGTAAGATAAGGTTCAAGGGAAACTAATGGCTAATGCAAAACTGTGAAAATGTGACCTTTTTGTAAAGTAAATAATAACTTAAAGCAACTCAAAGTAATAACTTGAGTGGTTTTACAAAAACAAATTATCACTTTAGTAAATTTATTTTCCACGGCTTTTATTTATATTGAAGTGAATTAGCACTGCTATATGAGGCTGTTACTCTTACTTACAGCTGTTACTCTTTCCAGCTCTGCAATTACGCACAACAGAAATAGGCAACAACATGGCATATATCTCTATTGTTACACCCTGGAAAGGTCATTACTGAGTTGAAATGAAATCAAGTTATATAGAATCTTGCTAATTTTCACCACTGAGGTAAAGATTTTAACACTATTCACACAATGAAGCTTTTTAAGGCAGTTTAACATAACATAAGATTAAACATACAGTAGTATGTGAAAGTTTGGACATCCCCAATTTCATGTTTTGTGACAATAAACTAACATATCCTCTACAGATAAAACACTTTTTATGCAATTTTATTTTTCCCAATGTGTTAAACTCAGCAAATAAATAGAAATTGTGCATGAAATTTTGCAGAGAAATGCTGTATTTAAGTTTGTTTCCTATAGCGAAAAAGCAACAAGACATGTCATTTGTCCAGGGGTGCTCAAACTTTTGCATATAACTGAAGGAAAGATTCAACATAGGATGAAGACAATTAGAGAAAGATCAAACACTGGGTCAGAAAAAAGCCTAATCATTGGCCAAGACTACTCCACCATCATTAACGCCTGCTAACACAACCCAGTAATATCATCATCATCATCATCATCATCATCAAAATAATATTCAGTACAGTTACAGTTTGGTTGATGAATGTCTCCACAGACAAAGCTTTTACCATGTTAAGGTAATGCTTAACCATCACCCTTTTGTACTTAAATCTCTTGTTCCTGTGTTCTGTTAGCTACTGAGCAAATGAGCTGACCAAATCTCTGTGTACTCAAAGAAAAAAACTATTAGATGTTGTTTTTGTTTAACTGAATTCTTTCAAGACTAAGAGAACTTATTAAAAGTGCACTGAGTCTTCCTTTATAGTCACATGTAGAATCTGCATAGGAAATGATTAGGTAATAATTACTTCAAGTCTTTTGTAAATGTATGGTCACTTTTCACCCTTTACTAGGGACCTTTAGGCTTAAATACATTATGGATGGAATGTACTTTACATTTACATTGATTTCGTGTGGGTTACCAGCAGATCTGATAAACAAAATTCACTGAAAATGTTGTGTTGAATGAGTCGAAGCAATTACACAACTAATATACATATATATATATATATATATATATATATATATGTGTGTGTGTGTGTGTGTGTGTGTGTGTGTGTGTGTGTGTGTGTGTGTGTACACAGTGGGGTCCAAAAGTCTGAGACCACTTTGAAAGATTTAATTTTTTTTTTATTTAATTCTTGTAATGGATTATATCATCTTAGGCAGATCAGCGCTAGCACAACACAAACAGGCCAAATGCTGAAATGAAAACAGCTCATTCGCAACATGATCAGCTCATGTTGATGCGTGCCTTATCTGAAATGACAACAGTGACACGAGAAGCTGATGCCAAAGAAATGATGCCAAGATGTGCTGTGTTTGCTGCATTTTGGCGCTTGTTGTAACTGGACCGTAGGCTATCGTATGAAACTTTCTATTACCAAGACGTGTGGATGACTGATAGCAGTTGAGAGCTCAAGGTCTACATAACGTGATTAATCAATACTGTCGTCTGCATGTTGACAGAAATGTTAAGCTACAGCATAGAAAAAAGGCCCTTCTGGTTGACGGATGTCTCACTGCAACAGAGTGTTTATAAGTGTGAATTTAACAGATTCATGGCTGGGATGCAAATTTTACATGTTAAAGGGGAATTCCACCAATTCTTCAAATTTCCAGCATAATTAAATGCTTAAGATGTAATCAAAGTCACTCAGAGTGGTGTGATATGAAATGCTGCGTTCTAGAGAAACGTATACAGTCAGAATTGTTCACAGTGGTGGTGATAGGAACCAAGACGTCTGAAGAGTTCAGTGCCTCTAAAAAGTCCCTCACAGACAGTTTTAAAATAACCATGTCTCAAAAAAGCGCATGAGTCGTTTGTTTCTTGTCATCAAATTTCAGCGACCTCACAGGTGACTCTGGATAACTGGGTCATGTGATCACATGTTCGAAACTGTGTGGGGGCTAGAGAGACCCGCCGTCACCAGCAGCCAATCAGAAGTAGCCTTCTGTTCTGGCGCGCTTAATAAAGTTGGGGTGCTGTAAATACAGTAGTAGTTGACTTTTCGCCCTGACCTGTAAGGTAGGTACCGCTCATACGGGCAAGAGGCCAGTTCGTTGAGTTATATTCAGTTTTTGTCTCATAATGTTTGAAATGTAAAGTTACCAGACTGTTAAAAATGTGAGCCGCTGTCTAGTTGTTGATAAGCTACTTAACGCTGTTCAAAATGTATTAAAAAATGAAGCTGCTGTATCTGTTAACTAACTGCCGTTCTGTTGCGTTTGGTTTGAGGCTGGGACGCATTTCGCCTCAGCGTCGTGATGTACATGTTGTGTGGATGCTTTATTTACTGGTTTACTTGGTCTGGATGGTCGAATTTTGTTCCATTTCTTTAAAAAAAAAAGAGCCAATGAAACTGTAGAGCTGTCTCCGAGAGTGCCGCTCGAGAATGGACACTGGTATTTCTATGTGGGCTTTTTCGCTTTCCGCTTGGCTTTCGGCCATCATCCACCGCTCGGGATCCTCTCGCATCTCGTGACCGACTCTAGCTATCTGTCTTAAACATGGCCTACAGCATCGTTATGTGTAGCTTTTCGGTCAGGATACTAATAACTGAAGCCTGTTTACATCGTTTAGAGCGAAATTGTTCTCAAAACTCCACTATTTGAACGGCAGTGAATCCCTAAGCCGTTCTATATTATAGTGTTAGAAACTCTGTCCCGCTCCAAAGTGCTTCTCATTGTCATCCTTTCAGCAGCCTGGGCAGTCATGTTGCTGAGTGTGGCCTCCGTCCTTGCTCTGTGCATGAGCACCGCATTTACTGCTCCGAGTTTGGACCGGCAGCTAGATGACCACTGGAAGCTCTGGAAGTCCTGGCACAGTAAAAACTACCATGAGGTGGGTGTGAGTGAGGCTCTCGCAGGCCTTCTGCTGGGCTGGCCAAACTTAGTTCTTCCACTTGGCCTTGTTTACTGTAAACATGATTAGTAAAGCTGTTAAAGTGTCAATAGTACTGAAAGATGCAAAAAATGTTCAGGTAGGGCTGCTAGATTATGGCAAAAATCATAGTCACAATTATTTTGGTTAATAATGAGATCACCATTACTGATTGACTATGCAAACATGCCTTTTTTAATAAATTAAAATAGTTTTTAACAGTGGATTTCCCTGAACTTTTAAATATAAACAGGTAATACAGCTGAAACAATAAATGAAAATGTTGGATAAAATAAATAAGTATATGCATTCAAATAAATAGAAAAAATAATGAATGAAAAATAAGATCAGCTATGTTGTAGAGCACTTCCACAAACCTACTGAAATCTATGTGTGTGGGTGAAAAAAAAATATATATATATACATACACACACACACACACACACACACACACACACACACACACACACACACACAGACCAAAGTAAACTAGATGAGTTTGAGCTTTTAGGGAGGGGTGAAAGCGCACCACTGTAAGAGAAAAGGGTGTAGTAGATTTGTACACCAGACAAAATGAGCATCACTGCAAAACAGAATATGTTTATCTTGTTTTCATAATTGTTGGAAGCCAAAGTTCAGGGACCTAAATTTAAATGATTTATATGCCCATTGTTCTCTTCTGAGGATATTTGGGCTGCACACAACACAAATTGCGGGATGACTGCATGATGTTTTGTATTGTTTACAGCTTAGTTGCACTGTTGAAGATCAGTATTTTGCATAAGGACATTTTGCCATACCAATCAATGGAGTCTACGATTGGAGCTGTAATGACATTTAAGAGCCAAAATATTGAAAACCAATTCAGCCTCAAATTATTAACCTGTAAGTGTATTGTTAAACCCCTGTTGGTTGGATTGCATGTTCTGTCAAATCTTGGGCATTATTTGATTATGGAGGTGGTATTAGGTGCTTTCATGCAAAGTATGCAGTGATTTTTGCTAAATCTCTTTGCTTGAACGGTTGCCTTTCCTGCAGAAAGAGGAGGGCTGGAGGAGGATGGTGTGGGAGAAGAACCTGAAAAAAATTGAGCTTCACAACCTTGAGTTCTCCATGGGCAAGCACACCTTCCGTTTGGGCATGAATCAGTTTGGTGACATGGTAAGAAACCAAACATGCATTAATCAACTTGTCTAATAACAGTAGTGTGGGTGTCCAATCCTATTTCTTCTCCAAAACCCTAATAGCAACTCCCTTTTGACATTTGCATATAGTTGAAACTATTGTTATTTTAACTTAAAGAGCCTGTTTAACCCATTAATGCTTCCCAGTGTTTTTGATGTCATGGGGTGTGTACTGTATCTATACCTTACTAAGAGCGATTCTCATAACTATAACTTGATTGCCACTGTTTCTTTCTTCAGACCAATGAGGAATTCAGGCAGGTGATGAATGGCTACAAAAACAAGGCCGACAGGAAGTCCAGTGGTTCCCTGTTCTTGGAGCCTAACTTCTTGGAGGTGCCCAGGCAGGTGGACTGGAGAGAGAAGGGCTTTGTCACTCCAGTGAAAGATCAGGTAAAAACCCTTTTGAGAAAGCTTCAAGACCCTTCCTTTTAAAGATGTACATGCATGAGAATTCTAGCACCACAGCAGTCTAATTACAAAGGGACAATGTGTCTTCTATAAAGAAAAGATATTTGAACATGTCCTTGAATTAACAGCTTACTTCATAGATGCAGTGAACATGAAATCTGGTGTCCAGTGTGTGTGAATTGCCTTGTCGCAATCAAGCATGACTTACCATGCTCTAAACAGATCCTTACATGTTTGACTTCTGTGGTTTCAGGGTCAGTGTGGTTCATGCTGGGCCTTCAGTACTACAGGAGCTTTGGAGGGCCAGCACTTCCGAAAAACGGGCAAGCTGGTCTCCCTGAGTGAGCAGAATCTGATGGATTGCTCTCGGCCACAGGGAAACGCAGGCTGCAATGGCGGTCTCGCCATCCAGGGCTTCCAGTATGTCATGGACAACAATGGAATTGATTCGGAGGAGTCTTACCCTTATCATGCAAAAGTATGTAGACATCACACAAGGACATGCTAAGAAGGCTTTAATCATGGTAGTTGGGTGTTCATGGTTCTATATAGAACCATTTTCTTTACTGAAGAACCTCTGAAGAACCATCTTTAAGTGTGTGTCTGGGTGCAGTACTTTATGCCAGTAGGAGCTAGCTGACTGACTCCCACCCCTCTGGTTCTTGCAGGACGATGACACATGCCATTACGACCCTCGGTTCAACTCTGCTAATGTCACCGGATTTGTGAACATCCCCAGTGGTAACGAGCGTGCTCTGATGAAGGCTGTGGCTGCTGTTGGCCCTGTTTCAGTTGCCATTGATGCTTGTCATGAATCCTTCCAGTTTTACCAGTCTGGTGAGTTAATGGTGTGACTGGTTATCTTGAGGCCTCTTGTGGCTTCAGATGTGTTTTGAGACAGAATGATGAAGTCTAAAGCAAAACTAAGCTTGTTTTTGGTCCTTCTTTTAATGGGTCTACTGAGTGACTAAATTGCTTTTGAGTGAATTATACTTAGAAGATGTAGAAGATGCCCAAAGAGTTCGAAGTTGAGCTTTATGCTCAGTCTGCATGGCAATGCATGGCAAAAAGCAGAGTGGCAATGTTTTGTTACTCCCTTCCGTAACGTGTGTTTACTTTCTGCTTTCTGTAGGGATCTACTATGAGAAGGAGTGCAGCAGAGAGGACCTGGATCATGGTGTTGTGGTGGTTGGGTATGGCTATGAAGGAGCAGATGAAGATGGAAAGAAGTACTGGATTGTGAAGAACAGGTATAGTGGAAACAATTGAACAGTATGCTAGAAAACCCATGGCCTCACTTGCTGTGTGTGTGGATTCAATCTTGAAGTGATCATCCACGAAAATGCAAGTGTGATTGACCTGGATCAGGGGTCAGTCCTGGTCCTGGAGATCTACCACACTGAAGAGTTCTGGTCATACCAGGCTCGAACATTCAGATCCTCCTAAAGGCCTTTATCTACAGCATATGTGTTAGTTTAGGAGTGGAGCTGAACTATGTAGGGTGGTAGATCTCCTGGGCCAGGATTTGACACTGCTGGTGTAGATCAGTGGAAGTTTCAGGCCTGATGTACTTGGTGGCATAATGGCAGTGTGCTGCAGAGTGCATGATGGATGCTATGAGCCACATTTTTCCGTTACCATTAGTTATGTGTTTAAAAGTCACAAGAAGCCATTAAGAACTTCATTTCCTGTTCTTTTCAGTCTGTTGCTTGTTGGTGACCAGTTTGGCTACAAAGACTTTGATATTTTAGGTCCATTATTGAGGACTTGGCGAACAGAGCATAATCATTTGAGAACAAATGTAGCTGTGGTCTGAAGGCCTTTGAACTTGGATTCTTAATCACAACCTGCATATTGTGCTTTCTCATAGCTATTAATTTGTTTTCATTTCCCTTGCATTTATTTAGCTGGAGTGCGAAGTGGGGAAACAAAGGCTATATCTACATAGCCAAGGATCGGCAGAACCACTGTGGCATTGCAACTTCAGCCAGCTATCCCTTGATGTAAAGCAGCAGGACTGTATTTGGAATATTCTTGCTGCAGTGAAGAAGCCCTGACTGCAGCCTCAACTCCTTTTGGCCTGGAGTGGTTTTGAGAACTGTTTTTAGGGACTTTTGGGGGAAAACTCAATCTTTTTATTCTTGTTTCTTAATTTTAATCTTATTTTATTAAATGTTATTTATAAATAAGCTTAACTTTTCTCTTCATCTTTTGTTTGCCTGCTTCTTGTCTTGGTCCTGTGTTTTATACAGGCATGCAAGGTTACATAAAAATGTTTGAAAAATGCAACAGTTTTGTTTCTTTATTGCTCAAATGTTTGGTCTCTGCTGACTTGGTTATATAAAAAGGCTTGTAGCATTTATAAAGTAGTGTTAAGTCTTTGGGACCTACCAGATGGTTCACCTTCTTGCTCTAACTTGCCGTGTTGCGTTTTGGAGCGCACATGTGGGGCCCTATTAGGTGGGGCCCAAAGGTTTAGAAACATGGTCTTAAAGTGCATGATTCTTCAGGTTATTGCTGTATTGCATGTTCATAGGCCAGATGTTAAATGCTGCTTTAATGGTCATATTCCCCAATATAGTTGTCATTGAAATGTAAACAAATCTTTCAGAGTGGTTTGGCACAAAGCCTCCTTTTGCTCTGTTCTTATTTATTTTTATATATTTATATACAAATACAATACATACATTTGCAGTTTTGGAACAACAAATGTTTTGTTTTTAATGCAAGTCAATGTAACCAGACTTCCAAGTAATTTTGGGTCATTTCTTTCGGTCTGTTCATCATGAGATTTGCAATAGACATTTTCAAATTATGATTAAAAACTGAAAAATTACAAAAATGGAGATGCAAGGTCGTGTTCTGACAGCAGCGATAAATGTATAACAAAGCGAGAAGGAGATAATCAGAGTGAACCAGTGATGGTACTGTGTATAACAAAAGTAATGGGACAGGGGAGCTCATAGTATTTACCTTGTTTTTGCCATTTTCCATTACTTAAACTATAAACTCAAACAATGAGGCAAATGTTTAAAAATACAGTGCAATACAGCCTGAACTCGGGGAGGCAAAAACTCGTAGTGGACCTGTAACGGCACCAATTTTGGACTTTTTACTGAATTGGACTTTGGACTAAAATCCTTTTGCTTTGAACAACCCTACACTGTAATTATGTTTGTTTTATTAAAATGAATGAACATTCCATTTTGTCACTAACATAACAATCCCAACACCATTGAAACTTTGCCAAATGTCTGTTTCAGAAGTGACATTTTTAACTAATTATGAGCATAACTCAAGAACAATGGCCAGTAGGCCTACATGACTAAAAAACACAGCTTTGTACACACATAAAATCATAATATTGTGATGTTCAGCAACTTATTTTAGCCAGACCCCTACATTTTAGAGTACAAAGTGAGACTGCATCCCTGTCCCTCATGGCCACATGGTGAGCAGTTAGATCCCATTGTTTTGAAATAAATGTGTCCCAAAGTCTGAAAATCAGAGTGTAACTTTTTATTGACCAGTAAAAAAGGACACTTTATTGTTGTTTATGTTGCTTGTTCTTTAGTTAACGTGTGTGTGTGTGGGTTCTTGAGTAGAACTTCTCCTAATACTTCCTCTGGGTAACACTGCAATATTTTTTATGAAAACACAAAAACTTTATTACTACTTACTTGCAGAAAATGTGTTTTGGTAGTGACCATTTTGAATGTTACATACTGATTTTGGACTTTTTGGACATTTACTTCATAACAATGGGATCTAACTGCTCACCATGTGGCCATGAGGGACAGGAATGCAGTCTCTAAAATGCAGGGATGAGGCTAAAAAGAGGCTCGGCCTACTGACCAAAACTCTGTGTGGTAGTGACATGAAAACAGGATAGCATTTTTTGAAGGAAGTTTTTTTTAAAATTAAAAATAAAACTCATGAATCTAACTCTTTCAACTTCACTTTAGAAAAAATTAAAAAGGTCTTTAAAAAACATTAAAAAAATACAAAATAACGTATGTTTTATTTTCAAGTTTTGTACAAGTTGAAATTTGTGGGTAAGAATTAGAGACAATTTCCAGTAGAACGTGCACTATAAATGAGTGTACAAAGTTTGTGCATATTTAGCTTATACTATTATTAATGCCTTGAGTTTAAATAGATCATATCATAATCCATGTAAATATCTAAGGTCTGAATACTTCATGGCATTTTTAAAAATTATTATTATTATTATTTTGTTTTTGTTTTTTTTACTGTGGGACCTCAGTTTGAACTAATTCTGTATGGTCCATGTTGCTCCCTTGAAGTTGCATTATTGCCAAACACCATGTTTACTGCTAGTTGCTAATTTTGGCACAAAGGGCAGTTATAAGTCAGTGTATGAGTGCCTCCAGTTAAATGGCCTTGAGACAAACTCATGTCAGCTGTTGCTCAAACTCAGCGATCACTTGCAGTCTTGGTACTCAGTTGTTTTATGGCTGTACATGACAGTCAATGTCAACCTGACAGGAAAAATTATTATGCGACTGTTCACTGTTTGTACTGCAGTGACACAGCATTATCCACTCCATTCAGCTGTTTCTTCTTCAGTCCTTTACTGTAAAAACACTACAACAGCTGACATTTTCATAGAAGTGGGTATTCCTCTGCACCTCTATGCCTCACCTTCCGCAAGGAAGAAAATGGTAGTTTTCTCTTTGTATATACATCAAAGAAGCTAAGATGTAAACTGATGGTTACCAACAATAACTGGCTTTTCCAATAGGACACTGCAAGATATCATACTGCTCTTCAAGCAATGGAGTGATTTGCAGAGGAGAAAATTGAGGTGATCACACAATCAGCAGGTTGAAATCCCACTGAGAAGTTGAAACTTGAATGTCTTTTGTTTTTTGACTCATCAAGTTTTATGTTTATTTGCAGGTGCAGGAAAAAGGACCTAAGACAGTATCGGTAACCTATAAAACCTGCAAATATAGATTAGGTTGAAAAACACTGAAGTTTTCCATTGAAGAAAGACTACAGTTTGAACTAGTTTGGTAAAAATGTCCTATGACCTTTGCTGACCCCAAGACCTTAACCATGAGTTTGGGGCCCTTTTATAGGTTCCTTTAAAGCAGAGTTGTCCCATTTTTCCACAAAGGGTCAGTGTGGCTGAAATTTTTCCAACAAAGTAATAGAAGCACACCTCAAAAGTCATTGAAGACAGGCCACTTGATTAAACAGTAGAGTCAGGTGTGCTCCATGAAAACCTGCAGCCACACCAGCTGCAAATGCCTTAATGCATCATACTGAGGTATGATGTATCATACAAAGAGCTGGACATTGGATCCTTGGAACGGCTATCTTGAGGCCTGAATTTCTCCATTTTAACAGCAAATCATACGGTATCAAAAATTACTGGTCAACTCAACATGGTTTCGGGTAAGTGTGTGATAATGCAAATTCAGTAATGCTAATTTATTTGGCTTTCATTACTTGTTAGCTGCAATAGCTTTGTAACTCCAGTGCAAATCTAAAGAAGCAAACTTGAGTGAGTCAATGTTTAGCACAGGGACCAAACAAGTAGCTACAGTGATGATGAGTCAGTCTCCATAGTTGCCATGTACATGGCTTTGCAGCAATGCTGTCTAGCTTGGCTTTAATGCTGAAGCTGTGAATTTGAGCGTTCCTTTCATGTTTACCTGACTATGTGATTGGGAGTCATATGCTTGGCTTTACCATTCTCCTACTGAGGAAGGGGCCTCCAGTTACAGTTTTAGCTAGCTTAACATTTTTCTGCATCATGTAATCCTTAGCTTGGGTACATATAGTGTAGAAATCCACACTGACAGGATCCGAAAGCAGACTGTATGTCTGAGCACATCAAGCCAACAGGACGCCACACTGGATAGCCTAATGATCAGTAAATGGATCTTATGTGTTTGCTGCTCTGCTAAATTGTTTCAACATTACGCTGTGTGCATGACCACCTAACTGAATCAAAACACTACTTTTCCATTAAATGTATTTATTTTCTCTTTGAGCTGTTCATGGTGAACCTTTAGCCTGGACAGTATTAAAGCAAATATGTTCTGAATGTATTTACTGTGCGTCAAGCAACCTGTAAACGTATGGAGAATTTACACACATGGGAGGTTAATAGAAATCTTTATCACTGATTTTATCAAGTGAAGGTCAAACTAGTAAAATCTGCACTAAGTTAAGTGACTTTACTAGTTTATGCTGCCTTTCAACCGCAGTTGAACTTGTGTTAATGTATTAAACATCTCTTTCATATCACATGTTTATAAATAAGTGTTATGGCAGGGTTCCAAGGGGCATGTATCAAACATGAGGTGGCAGTGATTAAAGGGCAATTCCACCGATTTTTCAAAAATACTACATAATTAAATGGTTAAAATGTAACCAAAGTCATTCAGAGTGGTTTGATGAGAAATGCTCTGTTCTAGAGAAACACACAGAGTCAGAATTGTTCACAGTGGTGGTGATAGGAACCAGACATCTGAAGAGTTTAGTGCCTCTGAAAGCTCCCTCACAGACAGTTGTACAAGAAATGGTTAGATGTATGCTACCTAATGGCTGAGACATTGTTTTATAAGCTTTTGACTTAATATGTACTTTAATCCATTTATTTTAATACATTCATGGCAGAGGGGCTACATGCAATGGATTGTAAGACAAAACAGTCCTCAAAGAAAACTTATTTTTTCAGATTTATCACTATTTTACCATCAACATTATGTATAAACACTGAGAAGACACATGTAGGTTCACTGGTGGTTTTGTATAGTAAATAAAATGGATATATTTGTGATGTAGACATGGCAACCCCTGGTTACTATCACTACCACTGTAAAGAAATCTGAGTCTGCAATGAACCACTTCACATCAAACTACTCTGATTATATCTTAAAGGCTGCATTACTCAGAAATTTTGAAAAAATTGGTGGAATTCCCTTTTAACTTTTTCCCTTGATTAATTGGTTTAGATGCGGTAGACTCTGCACATCCCTGGATAAGACTATTTAGCATTGATGTACATAAAAAAACAGCCTGAGACAGTCACATTATCTCATAGGCTCTGCCAGCTAATGCTGCTAGGCTATTGGTTAGGCCGGGGGTCCCCAAAGTCAGTCCTGGGGACAGCACACTAGGCACATTTATTGCCCTTCAATCATCTGGCACACCTGATTCAACCTATTAACTAATTAACAAGCTCCTCAGGAGTGTT